GGGAGAAGGGGGGAGAGGAGATCGAAGACCCAGAGAAAAGGGGGACAGAGATTCCCGAAGGACACAGAAAAAAAGGTAGCAACACAGAAAGCCCCATGATATGTAGATGCAGGCAGAGGGATGAGACAGAAGCCCAGAGAGAGATAGTCAGAGAGACGTGGAGACGGGAGCTAGAAGCAGAAATGTCCTAACATCTGTTGAACAGCTGCTGTAGGCTAGTCTCTTCCTCCTGCCTTAACTCCACAACCCCAGAGAAGGAGACTGAGGCTCCCAGAGTTTTGGTGACTTGCCCAACCGAGATCTCGCAGGAAGAAAAGTGGCAGGAGTTAGGTTCACCTGACCCAGCCAGTGCAGGAGAGGCAAGCCTTGGCCTTCCAGCACTTCCTGCCATGAGCTGGGGAGAGGAGCCAGCACATGAGGACAGGATAGAGGCCATCCTTGGACTGCACGTGGCAGCAGGGCAGTATGTTATTGTTCTAACAAAATCTCTGTATTATATAAATTTTTTCAGCGGACGGGAGTAAAGCAACTTGAGGAACGGGTGCCTTTTCCTAAGGTGCACATGGACAATGTGTGGGCAGCCCTGGACAGCAGCAGTGGGGCATGTGGCTTATGGGTCTGGAGAATCTAGGAGTTAGGTCTCTCACCCCCTTGCAGATGGCCACAGCTTCCCGGGAAAGTGACTTGGGGTAGGTGACAGTTTGTTCCATGATGGCCTGGAACAGTTCCTCCTCGTCTTCCCCATCAAAGGGGGGCTAAGGATGTAGAGAGGATAGTCAGAGGCTTGGCAAACTACCGGGCAGCACCTTCCACGCCCCCACTGCCCACCATGAATACAGCCCACCCCTGGGCCCCCAAATTCCTAGGGAAAAATTTGACCAAACCGCAAGAGCTGTATCTTTCGCACTTTCAGACTCTGTTGTTTTCTATCTCAGATGCTTCAGCTCTCTGCACCTCTTTGCGGTTCTGTCTCTCTTTCTCTGCTATGTAAATTGGCAGGGTATTAATTAGGCAACGTGTCATTTGAATAGAAGAGAGAAAAACTGCAGGAAAAGCTGTAAAAGCATTCTCCTGGTTGGATGAGTGGCGTCCAGTCTTCTGGGATTAGCAAAAGCAGTACCCAGGCAAAGGTTCTTAATGTGAGGTCTACGGAGTCTGTTTACACCATTGTGGGGGGCCATGAATTTGGATGGGAAAAAACGTGCATCTTTATTCTTTAAAATCTAAAACTGAAATTCAGCATTCATGGCAATTATAGGAAACAAACCGGAATAGTCGGAACTGTGACTGCGTCACCAATGGAAATCACAGATATTTTCTTAGCACATAAGAGTTGCAAATATCTCAAAAAATCAGTCATCTCTATTTCAAAATTCCTGGTAGACCTTCCTATTTACTTCCTATTCCTGTGAGATATTACCATTTAATTCATTAGTAGGATATCACAAATAGGTCCATATTCTAATATGTTTAGACAACCGTACACATTTAAAATTATTTAGTTGGTTAAATTACTCAGTTAAACCTTTAACATTTTGATAACCATATTTCAATATGATTGGCTTCTTTTGTAATGCTATTATCTTACTTCATGCATTTAAAAACATTGTCCTGAGAAGGGGGTCCGTGACACAAGAAAAGTGAGGAACCCCTAGCCTGTGGGAAAGTAATGCTTCAGGACCACGGAGAGCGCTCTCGTATCTGGCTGACCTTCCCCACAGCTTCGCACACCTTATTAGCCCATAGACGGACATCCCTTCCTGACCTGCTCCTCCTGAGCTGATGGCCATGTAACAGGTGGCACCCCCTCCGTGTTGCCTTTAGTCAAACCAGCCTCTCCCCACCTTCCCTTACCTGCCCCGCCAACATCTCATACAGCAGGACCCCAAAGGACCACCAGTCGACAGACTTCCCATAGGGCTGGTAGGCAATGATCTAGCAGGGGAGGAAGGAAGGCAAGGGATTATGATTTGTGATTCAAGAAACCTAGGGCCCCTCTGGCGTCACCACCTGGGAACCCTACCCACTTTAAATGTTTTCAGCACAAACTTTTCCCATTCAGAACACTTTGGCTCCATCCTCTGGAAAATTTGGGAAACAAACTCTACCTACTTGGAACATTCCTTTGGTCCCAAATATAAAGACTAACTAAAGACCAAGTTGCAAGTTCCACCCATCCAGAATATCTAGGTAACTGGACTCTCTCCTTACAATAACAGGTGCATAGGGCAGAATTTCAGAGACCAGAGAGTCTTAAATCTGGGCACATATCAGATTCTTCTAGGGGACTGTTTTTTGGGGTTTGTAAAAAATAAAATTAATTAATTAATTAATTTTGGCTGCGTTGGGTCTTCGTTGCTGTGCGCGGGCTTCTCATTGTGGTGGCTTCTCTCGTTGTGCAGCACGGGCTCTAGGCGCGCAGGCTTCAGTAGCTGTGGCACGTGGGCTCAGTAGTTGTGGCTCGCGGGCTCTAGAGCACAGGCTCAGTAGTTGTGGTGCACGGGCTTAGTTGCTCCGCGGCACGAGGGATCTTCCCGGACCAGGGCTCGAACCCATGTCCCCTGAATTGGCAGGCGGATTCTTTTTTTTTTTGGCTGTGTTGGGCCTTCGTTGCTGTGCGCGAGCTTTCTCTAGTTGCGGCGAGTGGGGGCTACTCTTCCTTTCAGTGCGCGGGCTTATTGCAGTGGCCTCTCCCCTTGCAGAGCCAGGGCTCTAAGGCGTGTGGGCTTCAGTAGTTGTGGCACACGGGCTCTAGAGTGCAGGCTCAGTAGTTGTGGCGCACGGGCTTAGTTCCTCCGTGGCATGTGGGATCTTCTCGGACCAGGGCTCGAACCCGTGCCCCCTGCATTGGCAGGCGATTCTTACCCACTGCGCCACCAGGGAAGCCCTGGCAAGCAGATTCTTAACCACTGCGCCACCAAGGAAGCCCTAGGGGACTGTTTAAAGAGAGATGTCCCCAGCCCTGAAGAATCCCAGCCACAATAGGCCAGAGTCAGAGGCAGGAAGATGTGTGTATTTTTCAAAATCTCCCCAGGTGATTCTGATTACCAGCTATGTTTTGAAACCACTGGCATTGGTTACTTGGGCACTATCACAGAATCGCCAGGAAAGATCAAGGAGGGCACCACCAACCCCACCTCCTCCATCAAGTGAGAAGTCAGGACGTGCTCTCAGTCTACTTATATACAGTCAGATCATTAGCTTCACCCCGCCCCCAACAAAATCAGAGCATACTCTGCCCACTTGAAATATTCAGGGGACACCCTCCACATGCCTAATGTTCTGGGGGATGGGGCCCACCCACTCAGAGTACACCGGAAATCATCTCCACCTTCTTAGAACAGTCCAGTAACAGGCCCTGTTCTCCTAGAATCCCTAGAGCTGGTCCTTCTCTTTTCGAACATTCACCCACAGGTCCCCCCACTTTGCCTATTTAGAGACTCAGCTCCGCCCACTTACAACGCTCCGCAAGAGGCTCTCTGTGCTGCTTGCTGTCGGAACAGCCACAACTCAGGTAAAGACCCCAGGGTCAAGTCCCCATACTCTGAATACTGGACGACCAGCCACACCTACTCAGTGAATTTGGAGGGCACCAAGAGCAGCGGAGGCAGGATTACCTCGGGGGCTATGTAGTCTGGGGTCCCACAGAAGGTGCGAGTTGTGGTCCCGGGGAAGACGTTCTCCTTACACATGCCAAAGTCAGTGATTTTGATGTGTCCTTCAGCATCCAGCATCACGTTGTCCAGTTTCAGGTCCCTGGGGGTGGGAGGGGTACAGTTCAAGGGGCTGGAGCCTTAAGTTCAAATTCCTGCTCTTCTGGGGGTCTGATCCCCTCCCCTGAAGGCCTGGGACCTGCTCACCGATAGATGATGCCCTGGTTGTGAAGGAAGAAGAGGCCGATGGCGATTTCTGCTGCGTAGAACCTGGAGGTGGAGGCGGGGGTCAGAAGGCCAGAGACTGGAGCCCACTCCCTTCCACCTTCCCTCTACCCTCCTCTCTTGACCAAGACTCACGCTGCATGGGGCTCCTTAAACTTGCCCAGCTGCTGAATGTGGTACATCAAGTCGCCCCCAGTGACATACTCCATCACGAAATACAGGCGATCCTGGGGAGGAGTGGATGGGACTTAGAGGCAAGGACACGCCCACCAGGGGTTGGAAACGTCCATTCCTGCCCACTTGAGACAAAGGCTCTGGATCCACCCCATCAGAAATCCAGCGCAACCATCTGTGCCCACAGGGAGGCCCCGAAGATTCTCAACCGGCCACCGCAGAATCTCCACCCACCCCATCCCCTGTTACCCCAAACTGTCAGGTGTTCCGGTCCTCCATTCTCGGAATTTAAGATTGAGGCCCACCATTTGCTTGAAATCCCTGGGATACTGAAACCTCTTTCCATACCCACTCACATGCATATGCAATCATGGCCACCTGTTAGGAACCAAAGTTGTTCGGGCCTCACTAGCAAGTGATAGTAATTTTTAATTTATTTTATTTTTATTTTTTTGGCTGTGCCGTGCCACTTGCAGGATCTTGGCTCCCCGACTGGGGATTGAACCTGGGCCCCCTGCAGTGGAAGCATGGAGTCCTAACCACTGGACCGCCAGGGAATTCCCGATACAGTACTAATTTTTTAAAAACTCCAGGAAGGGGACTTCCCTGGTGGCGCAGTGGTTAAGAATCTGCCTGCCAATGCAGGGGACACGGGTTGGAGCCCTGGTCCGGGAAGATCCCACATGCCATGGAGCAACTAAACTGTGTGCCACAACTGCTGAAGCCCGCGCACCTAGAGCCCATGCTCCACAACAAAAGAAGCCACCGCGATGAGAAGCCTGCGCACCGCAACGAAGAGTAGCCCCCGCTCGCGCCAACTAGAGAAAGCCCATGTGCAGCAATGAAGACCCAATGCAGCCAAAAATAAATAAATAAATGAATAAAAATTTAAACAAAACAAAACCTCCAGGAAGCTGGCTACGCCCACTCAGAGCTCTTGGAAGTAAAGTCACGCTCTCTCTAACCCCTGACAGCTGTCCCATTCCACAGCCTTTGGGAAACACCCTGTTTCTGACAAGTCCTTAACTCAGAATCCAAGAGTGACGACCTCATCACTGAGAGCCCACTTGCGGGCATGCTCACTTAGAAGACATTCTCCACGAATTCTTTTACTCCAGAAGCCCTTACTCAAAAAACACCCACTCAGGACCTAGGGGATTCAGGCCACTCCCACGCAGGATCCTAGCCTTGTGGCCACGCCCTCCAGGGCACCTGCATTCTGGCCACGCCCACTGAGGAGCCGGCCACACCCAATCAGAGTTCACAGGGTTCTTCTGCCTTGCCAAAAACTCAGAATCTCAAAGCAAATGCTTGATACATCCAGTAGGGATGAGGCAGGGCTCCTGAGCCGGCCTCTGTCACCTCCTTTCTTACCGGGGTCTGGAAAGTGGAGTGAAGCTGGGTGAGAAAGTGGGGCCGGCCTCCGGGGCCTCGACCCCCCAGGGCTAATACGCGTTTCTCCACCAGGGTGCAGTCCACATCGTCATCCTGGACAATCACGTCTTTCTTCAGGATCTTGATGGCATAGAGCTCATCGGAGCCCCTGCGCTCGGCCAGCATCACCTAGGGGCAGAGGCGGGAAAGGCCCAGTCCATCTTGGGAACCCAGAGGTGCGGGTCCCCACCCCTCCCTTTCAAGGACACAAACAAATGGGAGTCCCAGGTCCTCCCTCTCCCTCTCAGGGGACCAGGTGCCCTGACTTTGCCAACTACTCCCTCAGAGAAAGTAGCCACATCTTTATGCATCTCCTCTCCAGGAACTCAAGAGGCCCCATCCAACTCTCTTTGGGGACTCAGTAGCCTAGTTCCCTCCCCGCCGCACTTCATGTCTAAGAACCAGAAACCTGAGCCCCACCCCCAGACATTCTCCCCCTTCTCCCAGAGCCCCAGGAATCCAACCTTCCCAAAACTGCCTTTTCCTAGAACCATGAGGAAGCTGAAGTCAGAGATGTGCAGACGTCCAGGGCTTGCCCCGAAGAAACAGCGCTTGGGGTCGGTGGGACTCGGAGACGGGGAGGGGGTGGGAGAGGAAGAAGGGCCCATCCGCACCCTCTGTGAGAAAGGGGAGAGTTCCGAAGCTAGTCAGGCCCCAGAAGGGGATAAGGAGGCGCCCCTCAGAGAGGCAGCACCCAAGAACGAAAGGGACGGGGAGAGATGGAAAGATGGAGAGAGAAAAAAAGTCTCCACCCCCCTCTCTGGCTTAAAAACTTTCTCTGATTTCCCGTAGCCTGGAGGGTTTATTATTCAGCTAGCACTTAGATAGCTTACTATATGCCATTGATCCTCCAGGAGACCCTTGTCACCCACCCCACCCCCCATTTTAGAGAAGACGGCACAGAGACATTAAGTAACTTGCCCGAAGTCACACAGCAGGTAAAAAATAGAGCCAGAAATCAAAGTCCATTAAAGTGGACTTTGAGAGAGACTGTGTCTCCCTCCTTTCTGTTTTTCTACCATCACCCAGCACATGACTTGGGTCTCAGCAGGAGTGTGTTGAGTGGATGAAGGTCTCCGGAGATGAGTGCTGAATGCACATCCTGTTGTTCTATGTTCAGAGCACACCCAGAATCTGAACACCTTTACCATCATTGTCCCCCGGGCGAAGCCACTGGCAACTCCCCTCTGGGCCTTCACAATAGCTTTCCTCCACCTTCCACCATCTGTTCTTGACACAGAGGCAGTTATCTTGTCCAAATAGAAATCATCTCAGGCCACCTCCAATGCCCTCCCATCTCACTTGGTTTAAAAGCCAAAATCCTTCCAATAAATGACGAGGCTACCCCCACCCCTTCTCTCTCTGACTCCATCTCCTACTTCTTCCCACCCTCATTCCTCATCCCTCCCTCTGCTCCAGCCTCACTGCTGGTCTGGGCCCACCTCAGGGCCTTTGCACGTGATCTTCCCTCCACCTGGAAGGCTCTCCACTATCCTCACGGCTCACTATTTCATCTCCTTTATGTCTTTGCCCAAAGGTCACTTTCTCAATGAAGGCTTCTCTGCTTATTGCTATTAAAATCTCAAAACGGCTTCCCTGGTGGCACAGTGGTTGAGAGTCTGCCTGCCGATGCAGGGGACATGGGTTCGTGCCCCAGTCCAGGAAGATCCCACGTGCCGCGGAGCGGCTGGGCCCGTGAGCCATGGCCGCTTAGCCTGCGCGTCCAGAGCCCGTGCTCCGCAACGGGAGAGACCACGACAGTGAGAGGCCCGCGTACCGCAAAAAAAAAAAAAAAAAATCTCAAAAAAGAGCACTCCCTATCCTCTTTAGCATTTATTTTTCTCCATAATCACACATCACCTTCTGACATAGGATCATTCACTCCTTTATTTTGTTGAATGCCTTCCTCCAAGTATAAGCCCCATGAGGGCAAGAGGTTCTCTCTCTCCCTCTCTCTCTCTCTCTCTCTCTCTCTCTCTCTCATTTTCTGCTTTATCCCCAGTGATTAGAACCATGCCTTGCACACAGAGGGCTCAACAAAATGCTTTTTGAAAGAATAAATGGGAGCGAGAGAGAGAACGAGCGCAGTATTCCTTCCTTGGCCTGGAAATCTCATCTCCCTGTCCTTTGCCTGGGGAATCCTGCACTTCCTGTCTACGAACTTTTCTCTGACTCCCCCAGGTCCTGCCAGAGGCTTAGGACTCCCTAGTGCCTGAAGCCATCTCCATGATCAAACACATTCCTTCTCTATCTATAACTTTCTCCTATATTGAAAGAGGAGCTCCCCAGGGAATGGCCTGATTCTACTCCCAGAATAGGGCTTGGTTTACATAAAACCTCAGGAAATAGGTGTTCAGTAAGTCAAAAAACCAACGGAGGAGAGAAAGGCACAGTGATAAATAGGCAGAAAAACTCAAGGAGCAATTCAGGTGTCACCTCCTTAGGGAAGTCCTCCCTGACCACCTCCACCCCAACCCCCTGGCCCCAGGCTGGGGTTAGCGCCTCCTCTATGCTTCTTTGTTCCCTGGGCTACCTCTAACTTAGCACGTCATCCTGGAATATGAGTATTTGTGACTGGTGTCCCTACCTTGAGGAGTTGCCTGAGGGTCAGATTCGGCTCTGGAGAGCTAGGATTACTCAGCAAGCGCAAGACCTGCCACCAAGTATGTGCTCAACCCATGTGTGTGGAAATGAAGACAGATGTTGGAGGAGAGAGAGGTGGGGGGACAGATACAGACCACAGGACAGGAGGCCATTCCAGGCCTCCAGCTCTGCTTACCTCGTACAGTTCCAGGGGGTAGTTACAGGCCTGGGGGAGAAGAAAGCCAGAGTCAGAGCCCCCAGAGAGGTAGGAGGTTGCCCTAAAGCAGGGGACGGGGGTCCGCAGACCCCCAAGCCAGGGGGATGGATAGGAACTCTAATTCCCAGCAGTGCCCTAGAAGAGCAGAAAGAACTCCAGGGCTTTCTGGCAATTTTAGTCCCAGGGCCAGTGGGCAACGAGCGATGGAGTTTGGGAAAGGCCAGCTCTGAACTGTGGGTGACTGGGCTAGGCTCCTTGTGGGGAAGTCGGGGTCTGGGTACCTCAAACTTCTGGAGGAGGCTGCAGTTGTCAGCATCAGCCACTGGCACATTGTAATATTCGCCCTCCTCCTGGTTCAGTAACTTGTACCTGACATACAGACGGAGACCAGAGGCGGGCAGGAGTAGGGGAGACGGACGGGGAGGGGGGGCACCCGCGGGAGAGGCAGTGACATCAGAAGGGGGGAAGAGACAGAGAGACAGAGGAGGAGAGAGAAAGAGTGAGATAAGGAGAGAGGGGCGGGGGAAAGAGAGAAAGAAGCACAGGGAGGTAGAAAAGATAGTGCCCTAGAGCAGAGGGACCACCCACGGAAGTTGATGCAGATGCAGGGCCCCGCCCCCAGCCCCGCCCAGCCCCGCCCCCGCCCTCACCAGCCGTCCACGGGAACCTTGAGCAGCTCCGAGACGCCAAAGGACATGGCACCCATGAAGTCGTTGCGGGAAGTCCGGTCCCAGTCCCACACCTCCACGCTGAGCCGGCGCTCCACGTCCCCTGGCTTCAGGTTGCTGCGGGAAGGGAGTGGCACAGTGAGGGGCCCGGCTCTTGGCTGCCCACTTTTCCGCCCTGGGGAAGAGCAGGCCAACCCGGGGAGCTGGGGGGCCTGTTTCCTGCTCGGTAAAGTGTTTTGCCACCCCAGGTCCTGCCGAAGA